GTCCCAGTCTACAATAGATGATTTAAGCCCTAAGCTTTAAGAAATTGGCCAATCACGGTCAAGTATGAGTGGAATGCGCGACTGTGATTAGTCAATTTCTTAAGGCTTAGGGCTTAAATCTCTATTGTAGACTGGGACTAAGGCTTAGGGCTTAAATCTCTATTGTAGACTGGGACTTAAGAAATTGGCCAATCACGGTCAAGTATGAGTAGAATGCGCGACTGTGATTAGTCAATTTCTTAAGGCTTAGGGCTTAAATTTCTATTGTAGACTGGGACTTATCAAATACCGTGCAAACGCGGCATAAAGCATGTGACACACGTATACGACAACCTGCTAGGGAATAACACAATTACTTTCGCCAATAGCCAATCAGACCTTTGTTTTTCTGGAAATAACAATACGTAGCGGACGACGATTGGCTACCGCGTCGCGTTCTTTACGCGTGCTATGTACGCCGAAAGCGAGTGTACGTCGGTACGTGCGCGAAAACGCTCCCTCTCTCTCTCGTTTTCCCTCTCTCGCTCCCGTCCACCCTTTACTCTTCCTCTCCTCGCGTCTCCTTTTATTATACTTTCTAGAGTATTTTATATATCCATATTCCAACGAAAAGTAAGATAACTGCTTAATAGCCTCTTATGCTCTTCGCTTTATATTGTGCATTCAATCATGCGAGGAACAAATAATCAGACAAGATGTACGAATCGGTCTGTGGTGTGGAACTTATACGCAGGGGGTTTTAAATAAACGAGTAAGTCCAACCCGCACTTTCGTACACTCTCGAGTATATTTATAAATGTTGAACTCTCGTTCGGATGATAATCGCTATTGCACGCACTCGTGTCTGAAACAATTGCGGTCTCGGTTAGAACAGCACAACACGGTGTTGAGCGTTCATTATTAAAGGGACATATCAGAGTGCGGACTTGCGATCACCTGTGATCCTTGTCAACAAAGAGCCACGAGAGAGAGAAGAGCTTCGGCAGCGCCAAGGGGTCGCGAACAAATGTGCGAGGAGTAGTCTGTTGTCCAGACACACATACATCCGGGGCACTTTACAAGACTCGTATAATTATGAAAATGAGAAAAGAGATGATAGTTGAAAGTCATTCCGCGCGACGGACGGTGATTGTTTGTCCACGTTTGCCCGCGATGTTATGATCGCATTAGCCAGCGAGACATTTCCAATTGTAAGACGGCTATGACGTGGATAAAGAGTTGGATCGTGTGGACAAAAAAAAAGTCGCTCGTCTACCGACAGAATTGGCTTTCAACGTGATTCTCATTCGCATTTGAGGGCCTTTAGTTGTAATCGTAATTGCGTTTTCGCCTGCATTTCAGGGGCTATTACATTGTGCCACGATACGTATAAAGGTAACTGTAAACGGGATATTTTCCATTGAGATGTTTCCTAGTATCCAGAAGAAGGACTACAGAGTCCTGGACTTGGTGCGTCAAAGAGAGATACAAGTAAGTGGTCGATTAGGAGGCTGTTGAACAGCCGTCGCACGGAATTGTACTCCGCGCGTGTGTATGTACGTGTAATTGCGCTGTACGTCTGATTGTTACAGGACTCGGTGGCGTACACGATTCTACAAAAGCTGCACGTTACTGAAAATCTAATATCGCGCCTGGGCCTGGAGAAGGAATTGAACGGTCACTCGGGATGCGTCAATTGCCTAGAATGGAACGAGAGTGGACAGTACGTATACGTGTGTGCATATACCTGCGTGGTAATTCTTGCTTCCCCAAGGGACACGGTACGATCGTTGATCGCGCGGCGTCTTGTTTGCACAGAATCCTCGCATCGGCATCGGACGACAAAGACATTATACTGTGGGACCCTTTTCGTTATGAAAAAAAATTGGTGCTTCACTCGGGCCATCGTGGAAATATTTTCTCTGTAAAAGTGAGTTTCAATCCGTTACCGCGCGTACAGCCTGACGAAATGGTACATCCAGCACGAGCCAAGCGTCGACTGGGTGTCGTCGAACAATTTGCACGCCTGTTGCGTCTTCGAGCGAATTTTTGCTCGAAACGAAATTTACGAAAAATTGCATTCGAGCAAGAGATATTTATTTTGATATTATTCGTATTTGCTTTTAGTTTATGCCAAAATCAAATGACAGTGTACTGGTGTCAGGTGCGGCGGACTGCAGGATTCGGGTGCACGATCTCACGCTCTCCGAGCCGATATTCACATGTAAATGCCACAAACAGCGTATTAAGCGCATTGCTACCGTTCCCAGCATACCATTTTTATTTTGGAGCGCGGGCGAGGACGGTCTCTTCATGCAATACGACATTCGCACGCCGCACGTATGCAAGAGCAACGACCACAGCGTACTTGTGAATCTGGTGTATCATACGGGTTGTTACGCGGAGGGCAAGTGCATCGCTGTAAACCCGAGGAGGCCCGAGCTGATAGCCATCGGTGCGAACGACGCTTACATTCGGATGTACGATCGGCGGAAGATAAAACTCTCGCAGGTGATTCCCCATTTATTCTCGAACCGCCGCATCACAGCTGCAACATTTTACGTAACACGAAATTGTAGATTCCGCCGTCTCCCTCTATACACGACAACTCGAATGGGGCGAGTATTAGCACGTATCGAGCGGGCAAAGGCGATCCGGACAACAATATCCCACCGGACAGCGCGCAGTACTTTATCGCGGGTTTGTTTCCACAGAGATGCGACTCGCTATTTGGTTTTTCTTGTTTTCCTTCTTTTTCTTTCCTTTATCACTTTCTCCGCTAAATATTCGTTTAACTGAAACAATTCGTTCTAATTTCAAACTCAGACCACCTCCGCTCTCGTGACGGTGCTAGGAGCATCACGACCACATATTTGACATTCAGTGACGATGGAAATGAGCTGCTTGTCAACATGGGTGGAGAACAGATTTACCTGTTCGACATCAACGACACGAACAGTTCGAAAACATTTTTCGGCTCGTCGTGGAAGAATCCAGGTAATTGCCATTGCTCCTGTTGTACGTGTCGCTCGAATAAAAGTCGCTACTGCATGTGTGTTGATTAATTGACGCCTTCTTAACACAGGATCGAGAGAGCGAGCTCGTAAACGCGATGGATACCACGTGAGACGGAACACCGATGACACGGGGGATTTTGTAGACAAAAATATAGAGGTATTGCCACCACATGTTGAAGAAATGAAGCGCCTAGTAAGTATTCCTTGTGCACGTGTGTATGTACGTAAAGTAAAAGATTCGTCGATGAAGAAAAATTGCACGACCAATGGCTGGCAAATTCTAATTAAAGAAATTTATTGCGAAAATTATTACCTCAGCCAGGGTTTGAACCAGGACCGCCCTACACTCTAGGCGGGCGTCTCACCGATTCGACCACTGGGGCGTGTGGTAATATTAGTATATTTTTCGCAATGAATTTCTTTAATTAGAATTTGCCAGCCATTGGTCGTCCTGCAATTTTTCCACATTGTTTAATCAATTACTGACGTTAAGTGATTCCTTACGTTAAAAGGTTCATGTTCAACATGCAAAAAGTATGCTCCCCAATGATTTTTCCGTTAACACGATTCTTTCTTTGGTCAACAGGCGAAAGAGGGCTATCTGCAGGAGAAATTTTCACTAGCGATTAATTTGTATAATAAAGCAATCTCACACTGTCCTACGGCAGCGGTACTGTTTGCTAATCGAGCAGCTGCTTATATACAACGCGCTTGGTAATTATTCTCGCTGATAACAGTATGTATAAGATAAATAATTATAAAATTGTGTACACGCATATAAGTGTGCGTAATTGTGATATTCCTAGGGATGGCGATTTTTATGCTGCTTTACGAGATTGCAAGACGGCACTGCTTCTTGATCCGGAATACAAAAAAGTTCATTTGAGGTAAAACAACACCAAACTGCTATAATTGAGAAATTTGCGAGAACGCTCAGTCGCGAACGAGAGAGAGGCTCTTTGTATCTATGTTTTCAAGTAGCTTTGCATTCTATGCCCTTCTTTAGAATCTTTTGCATACAAGTGGACAGTATACGTATGTCTTATTGAAATCCATTATTTACTCGTGTGTACAGATTGGTACGTTGCCTGTTTCATTTAAATCGATCGATTGAAGCTGACAAGGTGCTCAAGAATTTTCTACAAACATTTCCAGACTGTACATCTAATGAGGAGGTTAACAAATTGAAGAAGGACGTGGCAGAAGCTATCGAGGCCGGTAAATATTTTCTAACTTTATCCTTGCTATATAAAAATATTGTAAAAATTAAAAATACATTCGCTAATAATCTCTTATCGTTAATAACAGTATTAATTTTATGATTTAATGTTACTTGGGTATTTTGTAGACAGTATTTTATGTGCTTTTACACATACGTGCGTGTGTGACATCGTGATGCAGCAATATTATACGCGTTACCTTTTGTAAAATTGTTTCTATCCTTTCTATCTTTCATACCGATTCTGCTATTGTTGCTAGCAATATCTCGAAGATAAAGAAACTGCATTACCATGTCGTATATTTTTGTCCGTAAAATATACAAGATATATGGAGATAATAATAAATCACAAAGATTGCACCATCTCCAAATAGACTTACCCAACTGTTTATTTTATATAGTATGAAGCAGCCGATAAACAGTTTCTGCTTTTTTTTAGCTGCTTTTAGCTATTGCTGGATCCACTTAATTAAGTTATGTGAAAATATTAACAATTTATGTGGAGTTTAGCCTTTGATAAATATCCCGTCATTGTCATTATACTTGTCAAAGAATAAATCTTACGCATTATCTGTTAGGTAAAGATATCACACACACCAGGCAGACGTTTCTTCCGCTGTCGGAATACGAGCAAAACTGGCGACACAATACAATCGATTATAAAATGAGATTTTGTGGCCATTGCAATACTACGACTGACATTAAAGAGGCGAATTTTTTTGGAAAGTAAGTAAATCTGTAAACGGCGACAGTTGCAAGTAACCAACTTTGTTTCAATTCCCGAGATCTATGTTGTTTTTGTACAATTCATCTTAATCGTTGTTAACGTTAACATTAACTTTTTCTTTTTTAAAGCAATGGCCAATATATAGTAGCCGGGTCGGATGATGGTTCCTTTTTCATCTGGGATCGTAATACTACTAATATCGTACGTGTGTTGCGAGGGGACGAAAGAATCGTCAATTGCTTGCAACCACACCCATCTATGTGTTTGTTAGCTACCAGCGGCATTGATCCAGTGATCAGATTGTGGAGTCCGTGGCCGGAGGTAAATTGTGTCTTTCTTTTCCCCCTTTATTTATTGCATATGTAGTAAATATACGCGTGCATATACACACATCATATTGTTAAAATCCAATTAAACTGTTCGATTAGTTGGCTACCTATACTTTCATAATTATCCATCAATTAATCTATTTCAATAAAAATTGAAGAATTGAGCGAAGTGGGGATAATAGTCGAAAACTCATTTTTACCTCGTTATCAGTCGATAGTTCAAAGAAATAACTTTTCTAAATTTGATTTCTTTATGGAATATCTTGTTCTTACTTTTGATCGAAAATAATTTTAATCGCAAAATTAAAAACAGATTTAATAAACCGCAGAATTGCTGAAAATACTAAAAGGAAAAGATTTCTATGTACATGTGATAAGTTCTCTTTCTCAGCAATCCGTTTGTGGAGTGACTGTTGAAATGTTTAGTGATAAACTCGTGCATAGATTTATACAATCGACGAAAATATGTGAAATATCAAAACGCCTTTTTTTTCTAACAATCCCATTTATAGCATTTCGTGTTTGTAGAAGATATAAGTTTCAGATGCACAGTAAAGATCTATTTTTATAAAGATACAACATGCGTGAAATATTGCAAGTTCTATCAACTCGGTCATAATTTTACATGCGTGTATTGCAGGATAACAGCGTGAACGAAAGAGAAATTAAGAATCTAGACGACGCCGCGTCAGCGAACCAAGTACGCATGAACAGTGATCCATTTGAGTTAATGCTCATGAACATGGGATACAGATTTACCGTTCCCCAGCACGAATTTAGCGACGAGGACAGTGAAGATCAGCACGATCAGCAGATAACGCCAGGTTTGAATTGTAGACCAAGCTAAATTTTGTAAGAGGCACACAAAAAGCAACGTATTAACGGTGGCTAGATAACTGAGAATTACGTATCGACATACGTATTATGATCTGTCGCATTATTACTTCGATCTTGATTATTTATTTTCTCCTTTCACCGATATTTCTTCTTTCTCGAAGCACTTTTGTTGTAATAATCTAAGCTCTTGTGGCAAGATCAAGGGCAGGATAGAATCTTATTTGCCAGGCATTGTGGACATATTGTTAAGAGATGCAAGAAAAAAAAACTTGAACAAGTTATTATATTTCAAGATTCTTATATAAGATGTAGAATTAATAATATATCACGTTATATCTCTTTGTATAAAATGGATTTTATTTTTCTCCCCTACGATAAAATGACGAGAAAGCACTGTTATACATAAATTTCGTTCATGAGTTTGTCAACAACATTAATATTACACAGAGAGAGAGACTTGAAATTTTTTCAACGATCACTGTAGATTAATTCAATTGGCGGACGACGGTACGAGTTCCCATAAACTTTGCAATGTACTGCCTTCTCTTGGCTCCTCCGCCGCGAGTCCCAAGTGAATCGAAAAATTTGGCTTCCTCTGACCTGTCTCCCCCTCGGAGAAATAATAACCAAGTACATTCGATATTTCACCTTGATTATCTTGTATCTCGGTGAAATGTTCTACACTAATCTCCTGTTGCGAAGGTGCCTGTAACGGTGGTGATATTTTAATATTTATATGACTTGACCTGAGATAAGCTGCGAGATGTTGAAAAAAAAGGTGTCTTTTCAAATTTAAAGACACAACTGAAATGTAGCCGTAATCAGAGTTTACTTTTGACTGATAATAAAACGACATTGATACATACACGTATGCAGGTATATTAATTGTATAGATATATGTTACAAGGTACCTGGTGTTCAAATGTATATTCCACCCCGAAAATGGGAAATTTTTCAAATTCCGAACGGAGTATCGACACTTCTTTGTGAGTGATGTGAAGCTGCTGCAAGGGATTGACGCGAAAACCTAAGACATATCCTCCGCTGGCCTCTGTACTTAAAATAACTAAAGTTGGCCCAAATTTCGACGTTCTTATAGTAATCTACGTAAAATTTATTTTATTCGTTTAGTCGTATGGCACAAGTTTCATGTCGGCGTTTTATACACTACATACATAAAGTATAAGCTATAACAATCAATTGTAAATTATATCCCGTTAATCTGACAATCTGACAATTTACCGTTATCGTTACGATACTTACATTTCCAATTGCAAGATAAGGAATCGATACGTTAAACTGATGGTTCACATCCGCATACCACACCAAACGTATGTTTGTTATAATAAAAGTTCCGATATTCCCCTTAAAAACAATTACTTCCCATTAACGTTACGATACACGTTAACGTAACAATTTAACGGGGAGAAACCAATTCAAATTTACATTTGACAGTGATGAAAATGTCTTCAATTTTTTTTTACTAAATTACACACCCGGTAAAAAGTGTCGACGAAAGACGATGAAAGTAAACGCTAAACCGCAGGTGTGAAAGCTTATTGAAGAAAATTAATGAATAAGCGAGCACCGACTAAGATACACGATATCAGTTGCATGAGAAAAGGAGTAAAAAAAAGAACTACATCCTTCCCCTTTATGATTAGATATTGAAGTTGCTTGGTAGAAACCTGTTCGACGGACAAGTTCCAGACATCTTGCACGGAAGATTGCACTTTTTCTTGAGGCAATAAAACCAGCCGATTTTCATGTATGATACCGCTTCTGAGTTTAATCTCTCGATAGATTTTCGATGACGCGTAAGCCCTGTAACGGATGCCTCGTAGAAGCGATTACTATTTCCTTTTTACAACAGCAACGTCTACGTGCGGTGATCGAAGAAACGATCGGTATTGTCACCTGTAGACGCCTATGACCGAGGTGTAATGTCTCGTACTTTTAGCGTCGTGATTCGTAAATATAAACTCGTATCGGCAATTTCGAAAGGAGGTCAGTACGTGAAGAGCTTGTACATATGCGCCATGAATCTAAAAAGGAAACTTGAGCTTTACCGCTTGACAGCCTACAGGATACTCAATAAAGAACACAAAATGATTCTCACCGTATGAAGAATTTTCGTATTCACCGCGACAAATGTGTTGTATCCTATGCCTATTGCATAAATATATAACGGTTAGGCGCCTGTCGTTTGTGGGAAAATTTTTACGCTTTGAAATTAGACTACACAGATGGTACACGTGTGCCCTAATCTCTTAAATTTTGCTTCATACTCAAATTGATTCGTGGCAAGGATAACGAGTGCCATATGACCCTCAAGTTGGTGACGATCAGTCTTCCTAGATCCCCGGCGTTGCCCTTGGTATCTTCTACCATGTCAAGTTTGTCAACGGTGAGCTCGCCAGGCCGTAACTGCATATTACTACGACGGAAGAAAAATTTCCTCTCAATCGCGTGATCGAGCTCGCTCCCGCGCGGCTATTTAATCGCGTCGTTGGTCGAACGTGCTCGACGAACGAGGATCGAAATGAGATTGTGAAATTAGCCACTTCGGCCTACAGGCTCGGAGTTTGAAAGTGATTGAGAAAGTTTTATAATTACGAGTGAGAAATGTCAAATTTGACTTCGTTGTCTTGCCACATTCTGGACGACGTTAGCTAACGCTTGTAAGCAGGGACTCGTGGACTCTCTGACTCGCGCGGAGGACTCGCTGGAAATCAATATCGCGTGTTGTCATACCTACGGACACACAACAAAGGTGATGGGTGGAGGTTCGCAAAGAACACAAGCTGTATATGTCGCTAAATATATTTAAATATGTACAGGAAACTTACTTAAATGCGCACATATTCATTCAAATATGTACACGAAATGTATTGAAATGTGTAAACGAGATAGAAGCAACGAGTTGGTTGCACAAAAACGATATACATGTATTTCCAACGGTAACGAGTGATGCACGTGTAACGTTACATGAAAAAGAAAGGAAGTAGACGAAAAATTCACGTGGCGGTGCCGTGTCACTCCTCGCTAGTCGTCGCCCCTTACTCCTCCGGCCAAGGCTTGCCCACGCCCTGCGACGCACCCATCCTGGACGGATCTTGGCTCGGATAGTGAATGGGGGTCGTTCCCGGGGGGAAGATGGGCGCGGCGGCCGCGGTCGCCATTTGCGGCGGGAACATAAACTGCGGGGCGACCGGCGGCGGCGGAATCATCATTGGCGGCATCATGCCGCCGGGGGTGGGCTGCAGATTGAAGAAGTTGTTGCCCATGCTCTCCGGCGGCGGCGGCAACGCGCCGGGCAATCCCGGGACAGGCTCGAGGATCTCCCTCGTCGCCTCCGCCGCGGACACCGTCTGCCGGCCCTGCGAACGGCCCCACTTGATGGTGAGCCGCCGCCCGCCCAGTATCAGCTTGTTGAACGTCCGCTCCGCCGCCGCCTCGGCGGCGTTTCTCTGCGTGTACTGGATGAAGGCGCACTGCTGCCGCGGCACCATCGTCACCGACCGGATCTCGCCGTACTGATAGAAGTGGTCGCGCAGCTGCTTCTCCGTCAGCACGTCGCCCAGGTTGCCGATGTACAGCGTCGTGATGGACTTGTCCTCGGGCGGGTCCAGCTTGGGCATGGCCGCCGCCCTGCGCATCAGCTTATCCGCCACCGGGTCGTTGACTCCGTAATAGCGATCCTTTATGTTCTGATCCGCCAACGGGTCGTCGGGATCCGTGGGCTTCTCGTGCCGGTACGGGCACTCCTCGCCTCTCTTGCACTCGCCCTTCACCCAGAACGAGCAGATGTGCGGCCGGTTCCTCTTGTAATACGGACTCGTCCTGGCAAGCTTCATGAGCAGATCGCTGGCCGCGGCGGACTTGCCGACGGCGCCGGCCGGCGTGGTCGGGTCCATCTTGCCAATTTCGTTGTCAATGTTTTGCACATAGTACTCCTTATTTACATCGGAACGCGGCAGGTCGTCCTTGATCTTCAGAGCGGCGTCGCGCACCTGAATAGGCAGGCCGTACTCCAGATCCAGCAGGCACGTCTGGCAGACGTTCTTGAGTCGACTGCACGTCTGGCAGACCTCGGTCTTCTTGAACCTCATCCTCGCCCCCGGACACCACCTGAACACTGTGAACGGCCGCATGCATATCTTGCATTCCTTTCCGTACTTCTCCTTCGTCTGCGAACGCAAATTACAAATTTGAGAACGCCGCACGAATGGCGTTGCCTCGTGGCAAAATGCTCCGCGCCGACCGAGTTACTTACCATACGGATGTACGGATTGTCTCCCAAGCACGTCTGACACAAAATCGGGAATTCCTACGTGGGACAAGAGCACGAGAGAGAGATGAGAAAAACTTAATCATTTCCATCGCGGAGCGAGGACGCTCGTCGCTTGAGAAAAGTCGCTTCGCACTCACCGCATCCTCCCAATTTTGTCTGTTGTACGTATTGGTGGTCTTCGACGTGGCCATTGCGTATTAATAATAATTAACTTTGAAACAACATAAAAGAAATCAGCGCGACGCCATTCGCGACACACTCAGATACACCCAGTGCACCCAGGACCACCCAGTTACACACCGCGGTACTATACCGTGGAAAGTGTCTGACACAGAGATGCGACAACACAGATGTATCCGTAGACATAATGGCCGCGTTCAGCAGACACAACTGTTGAGTGAGCGCCTTAGAACATATAGACATGGAAGAGGAATAGGGACTTGAAATGTGTTTGGAGGAAGTGAGAAAGAAAATCGTAGTGGAGGAAGCGAGAAAGAAAATCGTAGCTCTCTTGCGCATGCGCGCCACTCACACACACACACACCGATGCTTGTGTGCGCATGCGCACTTTCGAGCAGTAACTCACGAGAGAGAGGCACTACGATTTTCTTTCTCACTTCCTCCAAACATATTTTTCTCTCGAGAACAATGGGCATTCCTCTTCCATGTCTATATGTTCTAAGGTGAGCGCTCAGTATGATTGGTTAATACTTTTAGATCCAGTCAATGGCCGCGTTCAGCAGACACAACTGTTGAGTGAGCGCTCAGTATGATTGGCTAATACTTTTAGATCCAGCTAGAGCTACTGGATAAAGGTGAGCTGACTCGTCCGCCATCTTGGAGCCCAAACGTTTGACTTCGACAAATGCATTTCGGCACAAGATATGAATTTTTTGTTCTAAATTTATTGTTAATAAAATCCAAATTACGTTTTTGTTTTTGAAAAGCTATATTTTTAATTAATTATTAAAGCTATATTATTAATTTAATTTGTAAATAAATAAAAATATAGCTTTCCAAAAACAAAGACGTAATTTGAATTTTATTAACAATTAATTTAGAACAAGAAATTCATATCTTGTGCCGAAATGCATTTGTTAAAGTCAAACGTTTGGGCTCCAAGATGGCGGACGAGTCAGCTCACCTTTATCCAGTAGCTCTAGATCCAGCCAATCATGTTAAGAAATCATTGAGCGCTCACTCAACAGTCGTGTCTGCTGAACGCGGCCATTAAGAAATCATTGAGCACTCACTCAACAGGTGTGTCTGCTAAACGCGGCCATTATATCTGGAACAAGCATTGAGCAGTGGGGAGTAGAGGTTTACGTAGAAAAGACAAACTCCGTTTTGTGCTATTTCGTTCTCTCTCTCGTTCGCATGTAAACAAGAGAGAGCGAAATAGCACAAAACGGAGCTGGTCCTTTTCTCTTGTCTCTCTCGTTCGCATGCGAACAAGAGAAAACGAAATAGCACAAAACAGAGTTTGTCCTTTTCTATACTTGAAGCGGGGAGCACACACTTTTGCATAAGTGCATAAGCGTATGCATAACGAATTTGGTTGGTCCATTTCCTTGTGCATTTGCTTATAGACCAATCAAATTCGTTATGCACTTATGCAAAAGTGTGTGCTCCCCGCTTGAGCCTCTACCCCCACTGCTCAAAAAAAGGCAAACGCTCCCGTGTTGGATCCAGACCGTGCGTTCTTTTAGGCATCGGATACAGCAGTTTTTGCAGTAATTCATTCTTTTAGCCCGACTGCGCAGTCGACTGCACCGCAGATTTCCGTCAGCCGGCAAATCCGATGCGCAGCGGTTGCCAAATCCGATGCCTAAAAGAACGCACCCAGATGGAGCCAGGAGCCAATAATTTTTTTAAAGGCAAACGGTCGGTCTAGATATATTATGTCTATGGATGTATCATCTTCTAGGGACTCTAGCAGACTCAACTTACCTGGCTCCTGATTGGCCCTCCGAGAGCCAGGCAGGATCAAAACCGAATGGCCCGCGTTCAGCGGAGCTGGAACTGTTTACGAGCTGCTTCGTGTAATGAGTGTATGCTCTTAATCTTGAAGAATGAGTTGAAATTCAAGCCGTTCGCTTTTCTACGGGCGGGTCCAGTCAAGGCGAACGTTACCGATGATAAAAACAAATGGAGAACAAGGAGATAGCGGAGCTTCGCGAGCTGAAGGCACGACTCTTGGAAAAAGCGATTCACCTGAGAGACCAGCTCAAGGATCGCGAGGAAAACGGACGTAGCGAGCCAATCGATCTCGACACGTATGCTGCCAGATATCGTACATAAATGTCTCGCTCTTCTTACCACCCATCACTTTACCACTTTACTTTTGTACAGTTTCAGCACGCCGCCTCCTGACGACAGAGATGAAGGCTCGTCGAAATCCCTGTCCACCAGGTACAAGGCTAAACTGTGCGAAATTACGGGTCAAATGACCGGAATAACGTTCAAAGACGTCGACAGAAAGTGGCTACGCGATGATACGTATACGTATACAGCTAAAATGATAACAAAAACGATATCCCTTAATGTTGAACTAATAGTGACTCTGAAGGTACGCAGGAACAAGTCTTATCATACGTGTATCAACGCGTGATCCTAATAATCTTGGTCTCTTCTTTCTTGCTTCTCCCGCGTTTCAATTTCTTCCTTTTTCTCAGGGCGACGACTTTAAAATTGAGGACATAATGTGCCACTTTATAAACGTCCCGGATTGCTATATGCTAGAAGTGTCTCCTTGGTTTCAGAAGATTACAATTGCGAAAAACTTTTCCCTCCTCATGTCCGGTGAATAATTGCAACGGCATATTATTATAGAAATCGTTGCAAACGCAAAGGCCAAGCAACAAAGGCTGTATGCTTATTTTCAGCACTCTCGGATTACAATGAAAACAGTCTCCTCAGAGCTAAGATTCTACGTAATTTTGAGTCGAACGGATACTTCAGCGTTGAACATTGCACTCAGGATACTGGAGGTATGTTTGTGTACGTGCACTCGCCAGTAAACACTGAGAAGAACTACGCGATATTTCAGTGGACAATGAAATTTTTGGACTTGACATGGCGGATCGAGCATTTCTTTACGGTGAAATCTACGGATATAGGTAACAAAGGGAAAACCGCGAGCGACCGAGCTCCAATCGACTCGATCGGAACTTGTCATTGTCAGTCGTTGTCTGCTTGCTTCGTTAAGACAGTTTGAGTAATAACTTTTGTTACGTGACGCAAACAGAGAGTAGATGGCAAATTACACGTATGACTTTGTAAGTTCTTCCGATCGAGTGGAGAGTTGAGTCGCCAAAGTTTATCACGTTCGAATAAAGGAACTCTGCGAAACGGTGAAGAATAATTTGCGTTAATCTGTTGATTTAGGAGTGGAATTTTCCGAAAAGAATCGTTCTTTATTGAAAGAATTTTGCAAGATTGGTTTAACGAAAAACCTTCTCGTGGAACTATGGGAAAGACTGCGCGATGCCATTGACGCTTATACTGAGGAAACTATCTGACGAGAAAGAGCGATAAAAATTAATCGTCTTGAGTCACAAAATATCGTGTAAGATTTCTTGTAATTTATATTTCTTTATCATCTTTCACAATATTTCAATAAGATAGTACTTGGCTATTTATGATTCATTGAAGCCTGCCACGAGCTATGTTTACACCTTTTGTAACGTAAGCAATTATTAATTATATTAAATATTTTTATAAATGGAAATTCGAATGCAAATGAGTTTTCTTCAATATGATAAAGGATTCGTCAATTACATACAACTTTTTATACCTGAGTACTTGCGCGCGCGTGTCTGTATGTTCTTCACATAATATGTGGTACAAGCAGAAGAAACGTTTTTTAATGTAAAATATTCCTTCAATGCCGCTTCAATATACTCGAGATTTTGTTTTCGAGAAATTAAAAAAATTGCACTTGTCTTACGTTTATCTCGCTAGCTTACTTTTGTATCCACGACATGAATTCTCAGTTTTTATTATTATCTATTACCAGTCGACATTTACCAACTTGACTCCAATACTTCTCGACGAAAAGATGACCTCTCGATCGGCAGTTGTAAATCTGAATACGGCTACATTTTACACTTTTATATACTGCGTTGCGAGCGAATTTTTAACCATTAACATTACATCTAAATTATTTTCATTTTCTTTTACTTCTTGTCTTTTATACACTGAAGATGGTCTAAAGGAAGACCGAAACGTTTGTTAATTTTTATACTTAAATAAACAAATTTTTATCCTCTGACACTAACACCCAGTCAAGGCTCTTAGCTCCCTTTTATTCATTGATTTTTATTATCTATTATAATATGGCTAGACAATGTAATCGAGAATATATGGATGCAATTTCTTATCTTTGGTGCACACAGTGGTAATATTTCTCGAATGGCGTTTGATGGCACAGACGTATATTTAAGTGCACACGTCCGAGAGGAATTTTCAGAATTACTTTTTTTTCATCCAGTCGATGACCAAAGATATCTACTTGGAGAAGCAGAAGCACATACAATTCTGCCTAGACAGATTGAATTGGTAATTTATTGATCGACAGAAAGCTGTGTAAGAGAAACGTGCATCTTCTGAATGCAAATTTTCTATATCGACAAATAATTATCGTAGAAGATAATTTTATTAATAAGCTGTAAAATTTGTACAAGTCTGAACGGTCGCAACACAACTACGCAACAACTGTATCTGATACAGCAGATACGAACTAACGTACAACTGCTTGTTCTCGTCACGTGCTTTCTTTGGCGACACTTTGTTCTACAGTTTTGCGACGATTTCTCCACGCTCTTATGTACGATTTCGGATGAATGGGTAAGAATCCAGCGAGTCCCAATAAATCCGCAATAGGCAGGGACAACCGTGCACCTTTCGCCATCCAATATTGTATTCTTTCGAAATTGAACGACACTAATTTTTCGTTGTGCACATTTGGAATAGGATCGTAGACACCAAGTTGTTCTATCGGTGGTTTCCTTGCCGCCTTCTTCACCTGAGATAAAATTACGTACAATTAAGACTTTTCTACACTTACGTCTTACTCTACATTTACTTAAATTCCCGAAAGCATGCGCGAGTTTCTTTAGAATTACAGAAATTGTTCGAAGAGCATGCAATTAATAAGAAGAAACTCTATAACAATGAAAATTCTTGAAAGAACATCGGGCCGGCTTACCTCTGTTACGACGACATGATAGAACGGTCTATTAGTACAACCGTAGCGAGCAAAACGTATCACCTTGGCGAACGGCGAATCAATACCTGTCCCAGACGAAGGGTGCAATGGTAATCGAGGCATATTTGTTAATAGAGATATGAGAGATTAACTGCTTCAATACAATTGTTTACGATTGATGATAAAGGGATATAGGTTAAATCATAGAAACATCGGTGATCGAGGCCTCGAACAGTATAGAGTATAGACAGAGAGAAGCCTGAGAGATGTCACGGCCCCATTTTTCGTGATACGCGAATGCGATACGCCCTCTGTGGACATTGAAAACGTGGACATTGAACTACGTAGCCAATTTGCACATTTTGCTAAGTGGGTAACGCAGATTTGCGAAATTTTGGTTGCGTTTCGTGCTATAATCAGGTCCTGTGCGATGCTCTTGTACTTAAGATTATTTTAAGTACAAGATCATTGCATGGGATCTAACCATAGCGCGGGACGGGGCTAAAATTGTGCAAATCATGCTTTACCCACTTAGCAAAATGTGCAAATT